CATCTATTTTGGAGGGCGCCATAGGTAGTGCATTTGATATTGATTTGCTTAAAATGTGCTCTTTTTCTGCTCTGTCCGTTGACTAATAATATAGTTCATATCTGAAATTTTCTTTCTTTTGTATCTAACTGAATAAAAAGCCGTTATCTAAAGGTGATCAAACAATTGATCGTGATTTTTTCGATGATTCGCTTAAATATTTAATTGAATTCCATTGTAGATTTTAGGAGAATTTAAAGTATCATGTCCAATAGTAATATGGATCCGGATTCAACAAGCAACTTCTTTCATCTTGGAATTCCTATTGACATGATAAATCAGTATCCGGTTATAAAAATGTCTCTAACTGCATTAACAAATATTTTACAAAATGAATATTTACAGAAAAACTTTGTTCTTCATTTTACTCCAATTGAAGAATATCAATATGATTTTCCGGTAGACTAAAAATCGAATCTATGAACTCAGTATTTTATGTATTGCTTCGTTTTTTTTCTTATCCAGAGCGATGTACCTCAATCAGTACTCATTCAAATAAAACAAACTTTTACTGAAACGAATTTACCAAGAATTATATTTCAAGAGCACAGTAAATTGGTTACTGTTAATGATTGTTCCGTCTATGGTCTTTATAATGGACGACAATGTGAAGAAGATGAAGATATTATTTACCTAAATAAACAAGTAGGAATAATATTCTTTGAACTGCTGGTATATAAGCTTAACTTATATCGATAATCTGATTAATTAAAATGTAGTCGAAATCGAACATCAGAACTGAACAAAAAAGATTTTCAACGCTTTCTATTTCAAATTTTTATGACTATTTATCTTTATGTAAAACACAATTTCGTCAAATACATTTTCATCCTGTTCTAATGCATCATATTTCTTTTGAATGTTCTGAATATATTTATCTTATCCTAATGAGAATTAAAGATAAAACTTTCTCATTTTGTTAATTTAGATTTTGGAAAGTTCAACTCTTGCTCAAAATTTAACTTATCTCGAAAAGTACGCAGCAGTTATTCTATTCACAATATTGCATGAAATTGGTCATTGGGCTTTTTTCAAATTCTCCTGTCGTTTCGATGAAGAGAAAACAACACCATGTGGTAAATTTATGAACATATTCAATATTTTGTATATTGAAATTGAGTCTAACTAAATATCAGAATAGGTTAACTGAATGAAAAACTAAATTAGTAAATTAGATCAAATGAAAGACTTGAAAAAGTATGTTAAATCTTATTGAATATGAATCGAACTTAAATAATACGCGATCGCTTTCAATCTGTCTCGAACAAAAAATTTAAAAGATGCTGACTTTATACTTTTCGTGATACACTGCTATCATATATTAATAGTATGTAATTGTATAAGTACTTCATGACACTACATAACTACGGGTTCAATTTCCTTTATTTCTTTTCTACTTCTACTTTCTTTAATACTATTTTGAGAAATGCATAAAATTACCATCTATTCTTCGATTGCTGTTGGGAGTTTATATGTATATGAATTGTTTAAGAAGTTTCGATAGAACATCTAAAATTTGAATACTTAATGTGTATTTAGAGACAAATCCTTTTTATGACTTAGAGCTCTTTTCTAATCTATTTCATGAGAAGAGATTGAATTCTACCAAAGTCACATAAATCATGCTTGCGATGGAAGTATCCTTTCTAGCGATTTTGGAAAAAAGAGTATAAGAAGAATTCCAATTAATATAAGCAGTTTCCTTCCCAAACATATATTCTACAGTTAAAATCTGGATATGATAATATAAACGGTTTTTGAGAACCAAGTGTATGTCGATAAAATTTCTATTATCATGTACACTTCTTAA